AAAGTCTTTTGTTCATTTATCTCTTCCTTTGATATTTCTATCTTACCATCGATTGGTAAGAAGCCTTATCTTTGGATGTAAAGAGACGGGCGTGGGTCATCATATAGTCATGAATAGCAATATTGTGAGGTATCTTAACATTTTTCTTGAAGGACTAAGATCATTTGTAAGGCAACATTCGAAGCATCATCGAGGGACTATGATCTTGTATTTTTTTTATTGTTTTTGCTAAGACGTCTCACATGCATATTATGACTATTTTCTCAAGGCAACAAGTGGAGTTAACCCTAGAGGTGTAAGTGTGAAAGTGTTTATTTTTTCATGCTTGATTTTGTCTTGAATTAGGGTTTTTTAAGCATTGGTTTTAGTCTTGCCATACACACCCTAATTAGTAACAATTTATATTAAAGCGATAAATTGCGGAAAGTAAATTTACTACACTATTACATCATTTGAGGATGGGGATATAAATTTACAAATGGGGATTGCAAGAAAGTAAATCATAATTTATCTATTACAACCATATTGAATTTGAATAATGTACAAGAATTAAAAGGAAAACAATGTACAAGATATGAATAAAAAGAAAATGAAGTTGTTTTAATTTTGTTAAAGAAAGGTTTTGGTTAATAATTATGAAAATAAAATATTTTTTGAGATATTTTTATATATTCATAAAATAAACATTGTAAATAAATAGTGTGTAACTCAAAAGGAGTTGTTTTCATTGGTTGGAAAAATGTTTGAAGTTTGTTAAAAAGAAGAGGAAACAAACAAATAATAAAAACTAGTCTGGTCTTGCCAAGGCTTGAACCCTGGACCTGGTATATAAATGTCTTTCACGCGCGTTGTTTGTACCACTGGGGTGGTCTGTTTCATCCGTTCATAAGATGACTTCAACTAGGTACAAGATGAACTCGTTTCTGAATGTTTGAAAATACCCAGTTTCTTCTTTCGAGCGCAAGGATGCAAGACTCCTATATTGAGATTCGAAAGGCTTCAATCCTCAGCCAATCGAAAGATACAAAAACCGGCCTAATGACTTTTAAAAAAGAACTATGGACCAAAGGATAGCAATGAATTTTACTCAGCACCAACATCAAAATCTAACTAGTCAGAGTTGAAAATCTCAAAACATAAGCAAAGAAAATCAAAACTAAAAGCATGGTCAGCTTCCTATGATATCAACATTTTTCTTTTATTGTATGTACAAATGATATTTGAATGAAGAGTTCTAAGTTTAAGAAAAATTACCTCTTGAAGTGTCAATCGAAAGAGCTCTGTATGACTTCCAGGAATGATTCGATGATGGGTTAAGCCTGCTTCAACCTCCCTGAAGTTATTCCAGTTGTTACTTTGCTTTGAAGATCACTTGAACCGAAGAACTGGTATATGAGGGCTTAGTGAATCGAAAGGCCAAAAGAACGTAAGGAGGTATTTGAGATTGTCGGAGTGTTCTAGGCTAGTAATCTCTCTCTTTATGTGGTGTTCTAATGGGAGAAAGGGTGTAGTGTATGGATGGTGTTCAAATGGAATAAATGGGAGATTCTCGAAGGATTCTGGAGTTGGTTCTTCAAAAACCAGAAAGGACAAGCAATATGGCTTTAGTTGGAGATTCTAAGTTTTTGAGAGTTTGGGAGTGTTTGAGAATTTTTTAACACACCAAGAATCTCTGGACCCTTTGATTTGCAAATAGTCTCTATATTTATAGAGAAAATATTAGCGGTGTTTTTACACAAGAGATCTCTTTGTTGTAGGATTTAGAGGTGGACTTGCTTTTTTTGAAGAAAAAGTTGAAAATAAGTTTCAAGGTGTTGTACAAGCATGGTCTGAAGTTATTGGAGGCATTAGACTTATTGCTTCTAGTTTATAGGGAACACGTGTGCGGAAGGAGCAGACGCGAGGCTCAAGAAGCTTTTCTAAAAATGGCAATGATAACTTTATGCCATTAAGGGAAAGCTGGCTTGGAAAACACTTGGGTAAGAGTTTAATTTAATTGTGTAAACAATTATTTATAGAGTGAGACACAAGTTTGAGGCCTGAAAAGCAAGATCATGTAGCCTAGCCTATGGATTTTGTCTTCAACTTGATGCTTTGAATCGAATACTATGTCTTCTCGTTTTGGCCACATAGATCCAACCTTCGACCAAACTCAAAAGCAAATAAAACTAAATGTCTCCAACAATTACATGTTCTTCGAATGGGCCATATTCAGCTGAATATACTACTTTGAATTCTTTTGTTTAAATGTTTCCACCAATGACATGTCTTTCGATTGGGTCATATTCAGCTAAATATACTACTTTGAATTCTTTTATTTTTTATCACATAGGTCCAACCTTCGATCAAACTCAAGGGCAGACAAAACTAAATGTTTCCACCAATAGCATGTCTTTTGATTGGGTCATATTCAGCTGAATATATCACTTTGAGTAGGCAAGATGATCTCAATGGTATAGTCAAAACGAAAGGAATTCTAGATTGCTTTCCTACTTCACAAAAGAAGCCAAATGCTCAAACGAAGCATAGGAACCAAGCTTTCTCCAAGAAGCCAGATGCCCAATCAAAGCTTGCATGCAGGAGGCCACTGCTTGGTGAATCAAAGAAAACCAGTAGGAGGTCACTGCTTTGAATCGAAGCAAGCTAGTTTCAAAGGGAGACATTGCCCAGTCGAAGCATAGGAGTCAAGCTTGCTCAAAAGAAGCCAAATGTTCAAGCGAAGACTCTAAACCAAAGCTTACATCGAAGAAGGCCCAAATGCCCAAACGAAACATAGGAATCAAACTTGCTAAAAAGAAACCAAATGCCCAATCGAAGCAGAAATCAAGCTTGCTAAAAAGAAGTCAAATGCCCAATTGAAACAGGAATCAAGCTTGCTCAAAAGAAGTCAAATGTCCAATCGAAGCATAGGAATCAAGCTTGCTAAAAAGAAGCCAAATGCCCAATCGAAGCATAGGAATCAAAGCAAACTTGCTCTTCTTCTATTTGATGCTTGAGAGCTAAATATGATCCATGGAAACTACATGGAGCATTAAAAGTCCAATTGTACTTGTGCAAATTCAAACTCTAGTTTTGAGTCATCAGTATTGAGGAAGTATCTTGTTGATCAAACCTTGTGCAGTCTTGACCCAGTAGAAATCTTGTGAGAAAATTCTTGAGAAATGAGAGAGCAAATTTTGGGATGTAACACTTAGCATATTGGAATTTTAGACTTCTTAGACTTAGGATTAGAAGCTTTGATACTTTGAGACCTTGAGACCTTTGGACCTTGTGTTACTTCATTGTTATTTTGCTTGTATTGGAAAATCTTCGGTGTGCATGTATTGTTATGTTGTTCTTAAATGATCTATATGACACATGGCTCAATATTGAAAACCTTACTTTGGGGTTTTAATACCTTAAATTTCTTTGATACTTCTTAGCTTGTGATTTATTTTCACATGGATGATTGGTATGCTCTTGGTGTATTCTATGCTTGTGGCTTTAATCCAAAGGATGAGAATTCTACATTGACTTCATTATGTTAAGTGTTGGCTTCTTGTTGATTAGATATTTTCTTACCTTAGCTTTTACTTTGTGTACATACGATATTCTCTTCATCTCCTCCCATCTTCTTTAATTTCAAAATCGTCTCCCTCCTTTTCAAAACTCTTCTTGTTTTTAAACTTGAACATCTTTCATAAAAAACTTGGACTTAGGTCCATACATTTTTAAAATTCTTTTTTTAATAAAGTCACCAATCAATCTTAATCAATATATGACTTTTTTCTTCAATACTTAAAAAAATACAAAATAAATTCAAACTTTTTTACTGCTTTTTCTTTTCTCTTTATAACCTTTTTCTTAAAATTAACCAACACACAAAAATTTTCAAAATTTTTGAGAAGAACTACGAGTGCTCTGATCCTCTATTGCACGAAGGGGGTACGTAAGCACAAAAGGTTCGCAACCGCGGCGGATACAAAAATTATAAAAACCATTTCTTTTCTCATCTCCACAATCTCATTTTGTAAATATTTCTTTATAACCAAAATACACAGATTTTCAAAGAGGTTTTTGCGAAGTACCGTAGATTTTTAGGGTGCTAATATCTTCCTTTTGCATAACAAACCACCTTACGTCGATCTCTATTTTACTTTGAGTTTTATTCGCTCTTTTTCCATTTCTTTTGAAACAATAAAGTCTTATGGCAACTTTCATTTATAAGTTAAATCAATTAATGATTTAATCTCAAATTTTTTACCGCTACACACAATTCCTAAAAAATCTTACTACTTTAAGCATTTAAAGAGTGCCCAAAAACACTCGTTAACATTTCCCTTTATTTTTCTTCACAACATATCAATCAAATCACTAAAATGAAATTCAAATGGTCGAAATTGACACTAGTGATGATCCCCATCCCGCACGAATATGAAGAGCGTTTGGTAGAAGTATAGATGAATTGATTTAGACATCTCCATGACGTGTTTAATCATGAAGGTATCATCATTGTTGTGGATATTGTTTTATTGTTGAACAATATAAATAAGTGGAGAAGTGAGCGAACAAAGGGTGTATCATAATATTCCAAGGGCGGGTAGAAACGGGAAAGAAGAAGAAACATCAAAAGTTGAAATGCAATAACAACAACGGCTGGGAGTCTGCAAAAAGAAATTAAAAACAACAAGCTTCAAATCAAAAGTTTTTTTTCTTTTCCTGATGAACAACTTATGTGTCATCACCATTGGCTAGGAATTTGTATGCGATGGATGCTAGGAAATTACAGGATCAATTCAAAGCATCCAGTGTGCCTTTGATATAAATCATAATTCAATCTTTTCTGTGAAAACATTGATCATTTTTTACAACAACGGGTGATTGACAGTGACCTATTTGCTTTACTTGTATGGATTAACATCAATGACATTCTAAAGAGAGAATGAAGTGTCAGTGCCAACTTTGATTCTTTCTATATATTTCTACAAAGCATCTCTTTCTGCTTGCATATCTAAATGAAATTATGGCCTCAGAAGTTTAGGCCCCGCATTAGAGGCTATCCAAGATGAGATCACATCCACAAGAACATCCATTTCCTTTGATACTTGTGCGCGAAGCATGTTTGTTGAATCTATGCCTAGTGTGTTCCCTACTTCTTTGGCAACTGTCTCCCATGGTGTTCCTAAGGTAAGATTCGACAAAAGCTCACTTCCACGATTAACTGCATTAGCCATTGCTGGTGGAACATCTGGGAGTGCCTGCAAGGTGTGTAATAATAATTACGGATAATAGCCCCATTACAATTTAATTTAAATCTACTAAAGGTACCTGCTGCAATGGAAGAACATGATCTCCCGGCAACTTGCGTATTGACATGTCTAGTGCAGAGCTTATGGCTGCTTCGGAACTGAGCACTTGTGCTAACGTTGAGGTGTCGTCTATTGAATCATCATTGAATTTGATGAGAAGATTTCTGGATACGCCATAGTATGATTTTATCTGAAGAATTCAAAAACAATATATGAGAAAGTTATAAGCAAAATCAAGAATGAAACTCAATAGATAAATAAATAGAGTTGAGATGATCAAAGGATTCTGAATTGTTTTAGGAAATCATCTGCATGATTAATCATATTATACAGGGGGAAGGGGTAAATCATAAAAGGGATCTTGAAAATTAGCTGTCAAGTATTATACCATTGCTGAAAGAAGGGGTTCTCTATCTCTCTTTAGAGAGAGAGGGAGGGAGGGATAAATAAAAAACATGAAGAAACTAGACTTAAAACGACGTTAAATTAAAGATGTTGTCAAACCATCCGAAAAAATTGATGCACTCAAAGAAACTAGTTGCAATATTCATGTTAATTAGAATTTAGGAATAGAATCCAAACAAAATGTACTCTTACTCTCAAGTCTAAACAAATAAATATGCTCGTGGTCGTGGACATAAAACTAGTAAATGAAATGCTGACAGATTATGAAAATACGATTGATAAAACAAACCCTTTCACATTACAAGGACAAAATTGCTGGAATAATAGTAGTAATCAGAAACGTCACATACAAGTCGACGGGTCTCCTCAGGCTTTGGAGTAAAATCTTCTCTTCCCTTGGCTAAATCCATATACAAGGGAAGCAGCTGCTCAACTAAAGGAAGAACCTGTTTCATAATGGGAGGGCTAACATTTTCTAATTGTTTCAAAGTCATCTCCGCCTGCAAGTGTTTCATGATTCGTCATGTAAAGAAGTAAAAATAAATATTGTGCAAAGAAGTGGTACTTGTTAGTGCTGGAAAACAATATCTAAATCATCAAGTTTTCTCCTAGATATGAAAGAACAAGGAAATTTAAATCATTTTCCTGATATATGGTCAAATTACAAGACTATCCATATTGTTTCCAATGCTGTAACTGACTCTTACTGCAACAACCTTCCCGTCCAGGAAACATTGAGGGAAATTATAGTCAGCTCTATTAAGACATGGTCGGATGATAAAGACTCATGTTTTTGACATAGCACTTGACTCTTAGTCTTTAATATCATATAACAACAACCTCCCTTTTGAAATCCTAGTTAATTTCATCTTTCAATTAGATGGTAAAGCTCTGCAATTGAATTTCTTACTCTACCTTTCAACAAAGGGCTTTGCAAGGAAAAACAATGCAAGAGATATACTAATGTTTCCATTTTTAACAAAATATAATGTGTTTACTGCATGAAAGTTTTACTTTTGTAAAAAGGTCTTGGTCTTTGACATAAATACAGTAATACCTTAAGTGAGGTATCTAAGAGTTTCAGTGGAAATGGTCTTAATATACAAGAAAGATTTGAAAAGAAAAAAGACCATTTGGATATTTAATGTTTTAAGTCAACCTGAAGGGAAGGTTATTGTAATATGACATTAAACAGAAAAGGAGCCAAATTCTATTTCACATACCTCGAGAGAGGTTGTTAATATTTCTCTTAGAAAGTATTAATAGGTGCCTTCCTCCATTCCCAGGCAAGATATTTATGTAGCAATACTGACCCCTGCTCGCATAGTTGGTGAAGAAAAAATATCTGATAGAAGTGGACCAAAGCTTTGAGCCATTGGAACAAGGACTGGAGAGAACAAGGGGATAGCAGAACTAGCTTCCTGCATCAATGAAAAGAAATTTAGTCAATCATGATTAGATTACAAAGAGGATTCTTGCACAGGAAACTCTCAGAAAATATGTGTAAAAATTTGTTAGGAATTATATGATTAACAGCATGAATAAGTCTATTTCAGAAAGTTCTGAATTATCCTAATTATATGATTAACAGCATGAATAAGTTTATTTCAGAAAGTTCTGAACTATCTTATTCAAATCTGATCTATTTCCAGTCGTACACATTTCAGCCTTCTTCCTAGATTTCCGTTGATTGCTGGATGAATAAATACCTTGTTATTGAATGCCATGAGAACATTTCCAGATCTTTGCACAGCATATCTTGACCCTGGTTAAATAGCAAATGTAATTCAGTATCTACAAATCAAGTTACTTTTTACAATCAAGTTTAACAGAAGATTATCAATATACCAATCAGAAGGTGGACAAGCGATCCCAGAGAATGGCCAACGCCAAAAATAGGAAGCTCTTTGACCTGAAACAATCATTACTTCTAATGAATTCTTTGAAAATTAGAAAAACAAAGAAGCCAGCCCTTAGATAATGAGTCGAGGCTTACTGTTTCTTGTAGTGTACGGTAGCACCTGTCAAATTTAAACTGCACTTCATCTGCAATGAAGAAGTGATCAAACCCACTAGCATATGGAGTTGCAATGACCAATACACCCCTAGTAACAAATAGTTTTAAAGTTAGCTATTTTTTTGACTATAGATCCTAGATATATGAGCCTCAAATGATCCAGATATGAAATATTTCCTAGAGCAAATTTCAGTGTCCATTCAAAGATTCTACTCTAACAAATCAATATGCATTTAAAAAAGAAAAGAAAAAAGAAGCCTTCAATAAGCAAACAAGTAATAATCATACCACAGGGACTTACTTTTCTGCTAAACGCTCAAGGAACCAGCGGTAGGTAAGCTGAGGGGCAGCTCCAACAAATATACCTCCCACAAAATGTACAACAAAACTGGGTTTGGTGCTTTTGGGTTTGAGAATCCATGATCCCTGAAATTACACAATGAGCATTTATGAAGATTTTAGTGAATAGAAATGTCAGTGACACACTTCTTAAGACACGCATCTGTTGTTGTGATGGTCTAATTTTAAACGAAATCAATACATTTTTCAAAATGTGTTCAATTTACGAAGCAACATTGTTGACTTGAAAGAAAATAATCAATCATAAAGATTGGGCTCAAAAGCGTATCCAAAAGAGTGTGTTGCTTGCTACAATTACACTAACAATAACAACCAAGTCTTATACCACTAAGTGAGGTCAGGTACATGAATCAACTTCAGTCATAATGCTCTATCCAGGACCATGCTTCTATCTAAACAGTTAATCTCAAGATCTTTGTTAGTAACACGTCTTATAGTTTTTCTAAGTCTTCCTCTACCTCTGGTTGTTTGACCCCTCTTCATCTGATGATCTACTCTCTGCATACCCAAACCATCTAAGTTTTTTTTCCATCATCTTTTCTACGGTAGGTATTACCCCAACAGTCTCTCTAATATTGTCATTTTCAATCTTATCTTGTCTAATCTTATCACATATCCAACGCAACATCCACATCTCTGCTAACACACTATTAAGAATAAAATTTCAAGGAACTAGAAAAATAGAAAATTTGACTTCAAACAGACTGCTGGGTAACCAAAAGCATATTGATGCTTTTGGTGTTCCCTCCAAAGGTGTAAATCAAAAGTCAACAGCAGCATATTGATGCAAATAGCTTCAAGACAGACATCCAAATGCAAATAAGTTAGAGAGTAATTAAATAAGTGCTTCCTGATCCTGTTTGGATAAACAGCTTAATTAAGCGCTTATCCTATAAGTGCTTATGCATAAACTAATTCTCTATAATTGGCGGGTAGTATATAGTTACCTCCACTTCAGTCCAATCTGCAGAACCCCGGACATCTTGTGATTGTCTAGCAGAAGTAGTAACTAATCTGCAAAGAAATCCACAAACCACAAATACAAGTTATAAAATTTAAAACAAATTAGTTTAAATCATTTTTAGGTTTCCAATTAAAGTGTTATGAAGAATGAATGTAAAGCAAAGTTGTTAGGTTAGAGAGAAAGAACCTTTCGATTTGGGAGTAAAGTTGAATGGCTTCGGATTGAGATTGTGGTTTTGTATCGTTGTTGGGATGAGTAGAATTGCAAGAGATTGTGGTGTTAAAACGAAAACTACGGTTGAGATGAAGAGAGGGGTTTGGGTTTAGTTTAAGAGGAGATTGTTTTCTGTTGAGATTCAGATTGAGAGAGTAGGAATTGGAAGGTGTCCATAGCAAAGTAGCCATAGTAATAGTATCAAATTTTCTCGATGCTTTTTTTTTTTTGCCTTCTTCTTTCTTCTTCTTTCAACTACTACCTTACATAAATGGAACCAGTGGCTAATTGCGTCACGCCACTTAGCTTATTTATTCATTTGCATAGATATTACAAAAATATAATTAAATATCTCTCACGATAAATTTTAAAAATTTTAAACATTTTGTAAAACTATTTAGATTTAATTCTTTTTTTCCCTTAATTTTACCCAATGTTTATTTTGATCCCTTAAAAAAACATTACATAGTAATTTATTAACTTATATTATGTTATATATTTTGGTCTTGTCGTTAATTTTTGAAGAAAAAACATCAAAAGTTGTCTCGTTGGACATATAAAACTTGAGTTGGCTTTTGTAATTGATATTTTTTTATATTAATTTTTATTTATTAAAAATTTAAATGTCTTTCTTCTCCCTTCCCCTTAACCCTAGCCATCAGCTTTTTTTTCTCTTCATCTTTTCTTCTCTTTCGTCATTTTTCATCTTCTCTTTTTCATGACGGTGTTGACGGTGGATTCGAACAAGGAGAAAGTCTTCAATTATGTGAATGAAGTAAGCCCTTTAGTATTCGTTGGCACAATTTTATATTAAACTTTATACTGTCTATGGATGGTATTATTTCTTAAAGTTTCAATTTTTATTGTTTTTTTCATTTGCGTTATACTATTCTTGGTTCTCTCCTTGAATTTTTGGTCTTGAATTGATATTTCTATTAAAGGAAAGAAAGTTATTATTTATCTCATAAAGAAAGTTATTATTTTTGTGTCCATTTACTCTGATTAATCTGAATATTTCTTGTTTGTAGTTTGCTCAACTTGTTATTGAGCACTAACATGATGTTGTTGTAATTCTTGTACATATGCTATCAAAGCTTCTAAAGAGAGTTGAATATCTCACCAAAGGCAAACAAAATTGTATTTCTTTTCAGTTTTGATCAATACTAGAGTGTTAGATTTCATATAGTTATTTGTTTCGTTATGCTATGTAAAAAAAATTGATTATGATGTTGTTGTAGATCTGATTATGTATATGATTTTCTCATGTGAAATTCTGTTTTAGTGTGGAATATTCTGATTTTCTTATGAAAAGAGAAGAATTGGTTATACTTTTTTACATATTATTAACCTTGATTCATTCACTTTGGAAATATTTTGGTGTTGATATAAATGTAATGAAGGAATTTGATTTTGTGCATGATTTATATTGATTTTGTGCAAGATCAAACTTTAGATATTAAGGAATCTGCAATTTAATTTGATTTTAATTGGAACTTTTTCTTGTTGACTCTATGGACTACAAAATAGACCCAAAAATAATAATAACATTAATTGTAACAACAAATTAATAAAAATAACCTAATAATATTTTAGAAATAAAATCATTACCCTAATTAACAAAAAATGCAAATAATAATAATAATAATGACTGAAAAACAAACTAGTAATAATAGTTTTAGAACTAAAACAATATCTTACTAAACCAACTAATAACAATAAAAAGCAGTATTTTAAAACCCAACCCGACCTGGCCGGTCGGACCAGTCTGACCGAGAACCGGTGGGTCAGGCGGTCCGATTAAGGGATAAGATCGGAATTACATTTAGACCGGATGAAACCGATGTGAACCGGCCGGATCACCGGTTAAACCAGTGAATCGGCAGTTTTTACTGAACCGGTGGGTTTGACTATTTATTTTATTTTTTAGGGCTTTTGAAAAAAAATTAACATAAACGTTTTGCCTCCTCGTTTCCCAAACCTAGGCATTTGAAAGGTTTTCTTTTTTATTCTGTCTTTTCTTTTTCTAATTGAAGTCATATTTTCAATTTTCTCTACCAACAAAAACTCTCACTTGGTGATGTTATTTGATATTCCTTGTTTGCTGTCAAAAATTTCATCAAAACATCAAAAACAGGTTATTTCTTTTTTACTTGGTCTAATTTGCATTGATGTTTTTCAATATGAATATTATTGTATCATTTTGTTGATTAATTGATATAGAAAATAAATGATTAAATTTGATCATTTTCTATAAAATTGGGTCTTTTAGTTTAACAAATTAAGATAGAATTTGTATGAATGAAGCAGTTTTATACTTTTATGAATTAACTTATTATAGACTGGTAATGAAGTTGTTGTATATTGGAGATAGAAATTGGGATAGATATATATTACTGTAATAGTCATTGTATATATTATGGAGATAGAAATTGGGTTTAAAACTATGTAATCTAAATTATATAGTAAGACAAAGTTTTATGTTTTTTATTAATTTAAATTATATAACAAAGAAAAGTTTCAGGATTTTATTAATCTAAAATATATAGTAAAGGCTGGAAAGCAAAGTTTCTATTTTTTTATTATACATGGTGATGCACAGTAACGATACTTGGTAACCTATATGTAATATACAACAACATATTCATATATTTTGGATTTAGATATGCTACATATTTAATGTTGCTTATAATGTTTTTATAAATTCAATAATTTTTGTTTAGAATTGTGTTTTGTTAATATTTTTGTAATATAGTTTTGTATTTTTAAATTTTGATTGATATTAGATATGGCATTACCCGCTGAAGTAATAACTTCGGAAGAAGTTACATCTCAAAATCCAACCCAACTCCAGAGCAGTAGGGGAAAAACTGATATAGCTTGGGGTCATTGTAAACAAATTGAAGAGAAAGGAAAACTTGTTAATTTGTGTATTTACTGTGATAAAATTATTAGAGGATGGGGGATTAATAGGTTCAAATTCCATTTGGCTGAAATAAAAGGTCAAGTTGAAACATGTAAAAAGGTGCCTTCAGATGTTCAATATCAAATGAAACAAAATCTTGATGAAGGTGCAAATAAGAGAAGAAAGACTCAAGCACAAAATTTTGATGTTGATCTTACTACTCAAGAGGGTGGTGTAGTAGAAATGGATGTAGAACAATCAAGATCGAATTCAGCGATTGTGTCTCAAAAGAGAAAGAATACTAGTCGTATTGGTAATTATTTTATGCCTAGAACAACTCCTGGAGCTCAACCTTCTTTAAAAAAGTGTGTTACAAAGTAAGGAATTGGTGGAGAAGTATGATCTAGCTATTGCAAGATGGTTCATTGATTCTTCTGTGCCATTCAATGCAGCTAATTCTGCGTATTTTTAATCTATGGCTGATGCACTTTGCAGCATGAGTCTGGGGTATAAAGTTCCAACTATGCATAGTCTTCGTGGCTATTTGTTAAATAAATGGGTTGAAGATGTGAACAAATTGATAGAGGAGTATCGTGAGATTTGGAAGAAAACTGGTTGTACTCCAATGGCCAATGGATGGACTGATCAAAAAAGAAGAACTCTTATAAACTTTCTAGTTTATTGTCCCAAAGGTACTATTTTTCTAACATCTGTTGATGCTTCTCATACTTCAAAAACTGCAGATAAGTTGTATAAGCTTTTTAGAGAGGTGGTTTTATTTGTTGGGTCTGAAAATATAGTTCACATAGTGACAGATAATGCTGCAAATTATGTTGTTGCTGGAAGGTTATTAGAAAATGAGTTTCCTACTTTATTTTAGTCTCCTTGTGCGGCACATTCCATTAACTTGATGTTGCAAGACATGGGAAAATTAGAGGAAGTAAGTGAGACAGTGTCACATGCTTCTAGTGTTACCAAATATATTTATAACCATTGTTATGCATTGTATTTAATGAGAAAGAAAACAGGTGGAAGAGAAATCCTTCGTCCTGCTCCAACTCGGTTTACCACTAATTTCATTGTTTTGCAAAGTATTTTGTCTCACAAAAACTCACTAAGAGTCACGGTAACATCTAAAGAATGGACAAGCTCAGCATATGCCAAAGAAGCAAAAGCAAAACAGTTTGTGGATTAATTTTTAGATTCTGGATTTTGGAGTAAATGTGTTGATGTAGTTAAACTCACTGAACCACTTGTGTGTGTGTTGTGTATTGTTGATAGTGAAGATAAATCTGCTATGGGCATTCTATACAAATCTATAGTCAAAGCTAGAGAGGAGATGGTGAGGAGGCTTCAAAGAAATAATAAGAAAGTGGATCCTTACTTGAAAATCTTAGATAAACGTTGGGATTCACAGCTCCGCAAAAATCTTCATGCTGCCAGTTATTGGTTGAATCCAGCTTGTAGATATAATGATGTAGAATTTGAAAAACATGCATCCACAACATCAGGACTTTTAGATGTCATTGAAAAGCATGCTAATGGAAATTCTGAACTTCGATTGAAGTTAATAGATGAGATGAGAATATTCAAAGATGGTGAATTAGATTTTGGAAGGAAATCAGCCGTGGATGAACGATGTATTGTGAGGACAGGTAATTTCATAACTTCTAACTCTTGATATATATTTTATTTTATATTTCAATATGTTTATAAATTTATTTAATCACATGGTATAAACAGATCAATGGTGGGAAACTTATGACACTTGTACACCAACTTTGCAAAGGTTAGTTATTCATATTTTAAGCCAAACTTATAGTGCTTCGGGTTGTGAACGCAATTGGAGTATATTTGAGCATATTCATTCCAAAAAAAGAAATAGATTGGAGCACCAAAAGCTTAATGATTTAGTGTTTGTTCGTTACAACTTGAGACTTCAAAATAGGTATTATTATGGTTATTTTTCTCTGATCATTATATTTTTATATTTAAATACATATACTTAGATTTAATTCATGTGTGCTTAGGAAAATAAGAAATGGGAGTTATGATCCTATCAATATTGAAACAATTGCTGACCATTCTAGTTGGGTATTAGATGATTTACCACCTCTCTTAACCAATGAAGAGTTGGAAGCATTGCGGAATGATCTTGCAAATATGACCATTTAACCAATTTCAAGTGATATAGGTATGTTCTAATATGAGCATAATATAGTTTGTGGTTGTGAATCAATTTAATGTCTCATATTTACCATCTCTAAATTTTTTTTGTTAATTATTTTT